ACCTTAACCTAACTTTTTTAAAACTGTGTTCCTAACTGGTGGCCCTAAGCTAAATAGCTAACCTAGCTAGTCACATCACGGTTTTTTGAAGGACCACTTTTGTGAAAATTTGTGTGGAATGCCTCCAAGTGAGTCACCTACCCTGGCAAACTCTGTTGACACCGACTCTGAGTGGGTACCTCAGCCCTCACAAGTGGCTTATAGACAGATTTTCACAAATGATTGATGTTGCAAGAAACTCGCCTGCAATGCACGTATAAAGGACTAACTTTAACCTTGGTGTATGCAAGCATATTATCCTGATCTTCAACTTCCACTAAGCTAGCCTTAGCCCCCTCTGGAGCTTTCCCTCAGAAACCACGTGCAACCGGGAGCCTTAATTCCTGCAATATTCAATCTAATTAGTGTCCTGCCTGCACCTCAGTTGAAATTCCTATAATCCAATAGGGTATGTATCCCCTATAGTATAACTATGCAGACTCAGACACTAGCTTCCGAGACTGCTCTGAGACACTGATACTTTACTGGGCATGCTCCATGCCTGTTGCTCACTCCGGGCTCACAGTTAAAAACTCAACTCACAATCTCCCCCAGACACTGGTCCAAAATCTACGAGAATATGGAGGGCTTGTCTTACTGTATGGGCCTGACGGAGTAGGTCAATCTACGGTACATCGAGGGCCTCTTACCAGATTTTCCCCCCAGGTCTCAGATGTGAAGACACGTGAGGGCGCCGTCTGCTGATCACGGCAACGTCTTGTCCAGTGGGTGTCTGTCTTAAGAAGAACGAGCTGGTTCCCCCATCTTCCAGACCCTCGTCTCTTCGTTCAAACTAGGGCTGCCAGTTTCTCCTAGCTAACTTATCCTAGTGTTTGCAAAAAAAATCATTATCGGCCTATTACTACATTTTTAAGGTCTTAGTCTACATTATTATTAACTACAGTTTTTGCCTTGTAAACCTAATATTAAATATACTAACAGTAAAACTACCTACTCCTTCCCTGAAGAGTAAATCTATAAACTAAATACGCCTACCAACAATCCATCGCCAACAAGAGAGAAATGCTTTCATGTTTGGGTGAGGGTATAAGGGCCATCCACTCAGCCGTCCCGTACGGCCATTGCTGGATCTGACCTGTGGGAACTTTAGGGACCAAATAATTTCCACATAATATATATGGGTCAATGTTTAGACTGTATTTGTAAATCAATAGATTTTGTTCATTGCGACTGTAATTTGTCCATTGTTCTCGTAATTTACCAATCAGGTGGACCTGGGGTGCATAACATAGCAACCACCAGGGAAGTCTCCCGTCCTCCCAGATGACTGTGAAACAAAAACCGTAAATTTTTTGCATGATGGTAAAATTGCTGGTTTCTTTTTCGTCTCATAAACACGTAAGAAAAACAGGGTATTTGCTACCCCTACTTAATTTTGGTCCACTTCATAGACACGCAATGAAAAAAATTTATACATACATCTGGGTTTTTTCCCCCTTTTTTCTAAATGCTTTGTTTTTTTTTTATTTCTTCTTTTGTCCATGGGGAAGTGGAAAAAAATCTTTCCTCGTAAGCCATGCGTGTGTTTTGGGCGACTAAAATCCGGGAGCAATGGGTAGTCCCCCCTTTCTCCTGATAAAATTACTAAAAAAGAGAAGAAGAAAAATTTTATAAAATGGGTTGTTTAAAAATGTGGTGGATGTAGTGGGATGACAAAAAAACGAGTTGTGATGTTATGAAATGAAAAGAAGTTGGATGTCCGGCCCCTAAGGAAACAAAGCAAAGGGGGTGGAGATTTTTCGTGGGGGGAAATAAAGGGGATTAAATTGGGGACTGAGAGAGTTAGAGAAAAGGGAAAAGGGGGAAAGGGCAGTAATTTTTAAATGATCAGTTTTGGAAGGAAAAAGAGAAAATGAATGTGTAAATTCAAGAATTATGTGGATTAAATAAGGTTGGTGCGAGAAATGGGTCAAATAAACGTGTATCACCGGGAAAGAGGAATGCAGGGAGGGGAGAGGGTTTTGGAGTGATAGGAGCCTTTTAACCCGTGAGAGAGTAATTGTGGTAGGGGACTTGAAAGCTAAAATAGGGGAAACTTTTAGAGAGGGGGTGGGAGGTAAGTTTGGGGGGGGCCCGGTGTAAATGATAATGGGAGCCCTTGATTTAACTTTTATGAAAGGGGTTTAGTTTAGGTAAAACATATTTTAAAAAAAAGGGATAAAAAAGTATACACGAATGGTAGGGGGGAATGACGTAGTTTGTTGGATTATTATTGGGAGATAAAAGATGTTGAGTAGACTTCAGGAGTACATGTTTTTAGAGGGGCCCCGATTATCAGATCACTTTTAGTTGTAGCTACACTGAGAGTAAAAGGAGATGGGTACAAGGAAAAGAAACTCAGGGAAGAGAGAGGGGAAAGGTTTATAAATAAAAGAGGGGGCGTTGGGTAAAATAAAAAGCTATTGGAGGATAATGGGCTAATGGAGCATAGGCAATGGGGTCGAAGAGGGTTGGGGGGAGGTTTAAAAAAATTTGTGTTGAGTGTTCAGCGAAGTTTGGGTTACAGGAAAGTGGGTGCAGGGGGAAAGGGGGCGATTGGTGGAAATGATGATGTAAGAGAGTAGTAAGGGAAAAAAAGTTAGATATAGAAGTTTTTACAAAGAGAAGTGATGCAAGGGGGGAAAAGAGTATATGGAGAAAAGGGAAGTTAAAGGTGGTAAAGCAATGTAAAAAAGAGCAAATGAAGAGTGGGGGGAAAAGTTTTAAACCAAATTTTTTTGAAAATAAGAAAAGTTTTGGAAAGTGGATTAAAAATTTAGAAACCCTAGAGAAAAAATATTTGTCAGTTTAAAAATGGGAGAGGGGGGTTTTAAATGGAGATTAGAGGTATTGGGAAGATGGAAGGAAAATTTTGAGGAAATTTTTAAATGTTGATGAAGATAGGGAAACTGTGATTTGTTATAGGGCAAGGAGGTAAAAATTTGTAGGAGTGAGGAAGGCCGTTTTGAGTGGGGGGGGGAAGTTCGGAGGCATGGTAAAATGAAAGGGGTAAGGCAGCCGGGATTTATGGGGTAAAGATAGGGAAATTTAAAAAACAGGTGGGGATTAGTTTTTGGGGTGGTTGGTGCAATTTTTTAATAAATGATGGAAGAGGGTAAAGGTACCTAGGGATTGGCAGAGAGCTGCTAGTTCCTTTGTTAAAGGGGAAGGGGGTAAAGAGAGTGCAAAAAAATTTAGGGGGGTAAATCTGTTGAGTTACCTGGTAAAGTGTATGGGAGGTATAAATTTAAAGAATTAAGAGTAAGACGGGGTAGGATAGCGATGAAAAAGGGGCTTTTGGAAAGGTAGGGGGGGTGTGGACCCCGGTGTTTCAGTGAAACAATAAGTGAACAGATTTTTGATAGGCTAAAGAGGCCCTTTTGGCATTTTAAAATTTGGGGAAAAGGCTATGACAGGGGGATGGGGGGAATGTGGCAGTGTTGAAAGTGAGGGTGGAGGTAGGTTACTGAAAGCAGTAGGTTTTTACGGGATAGTGGGTCAAGTTAGGTATGTGGAAAAAGGGAAATTTTTTCCCGTAAAAGTAGGCCTTAGCAAGGATGTTGATGTCACCGTGGTTGTTAATTATTTATAGAGGGGTTTGAAAGAAGAAAATGCGGGGGTCTTGGCAAGGCGGGGGTTTAAAAAAGTAAAAAATCCACACAAAGGGGAGTTGTCACGTGCCTTTTTGCTGATGACACGGGCCCTTTTTGGGGAAATTTCTGAAGAGAAGTTGCAGAGATTGGTGGAGAATTTGGGGTTGGGGTGCAAAGAAAAAAATTAAAGGTAAATACAGGAAAGAGAAAGGTTTTGGGATAAAAAAAAGTTTAGGTAAAAGAAAGATTGAAACGATTGGGGGGGAGAGAGTATGGGAGGTGAACTATTCAGATATTTGGGGGGGGACGTGTCAGGGGGATGGGTTATGAAAGATGAGGTGAATCATAAATTGATGAGGAAAAAGAGTGATGGTCCCTTTGGAGCTGTGGGACAAAGAATTTGTCCTTGGAGGCAAAGAGGGGAATGTTGAGAGTATTTTTTTCCCAAACCCTCTTTTTGGGGTGTGAAGTGTGGGGGATGAATGTTGCAGCGAGAGAAGGCTGGGGCAGGGGAGTGCATGTATGGGGGCAATGTGTGGTGTGAAATAATGCGAAAATTCGTAGTTTGGGTTGGAGGGGGTGCGGGTTAAAAAAATGTTGTCCGAGGGCTGGGAAGGGTTGTTGAGGTGGTTGGGACATGTAGAGAAATGGAGAAAAACAGAATGACTTCAAGAGTGTATCAGTCTGTAGTGGAAGGAGGCGGGGTGGGGTGGGCCTAGGAAGGGTGGGGGAGGGGGGTAAAGGGGTTTTGTGTCGAGGGGGTTGGACTTCCAGCAGGCTTGCGTGAGCGGTTTTTATAGGAGTGAAAGGAGAAAATGGTTTTTAATACTTGACGTGCTGTTGGGTGTGAGCAAAGTAAAATTTTTGAAGGGTTCGGGGAAAACCCGGAGGCCGGACTTGAGTCCTGGGGGGGGAAGTACGTGCCCGCCCCTTGAAGGAGGGTGTTAAGTTGCATTTAAAAACTGTAGTGTAAAGCCCCTTCTGGGAAGACAGGATGGAGTGAATATGGTTTTAAAATTTTTCTTTTTCGGGCCCCCCGCCTTGGGGGAATCGGCCGGTGTGTAAAAAAAAAAAAATAAACTGAAAGTATTTTTAGGGTTTAAAAAATTATTCTTGATGGTAGTAAATAAGTGACAAGAGGGTTAAGTATTTGATGACTTTTTAAGCACAATTAACCCAAATAACCCAAGACTTCTTTAATTTATGCTGGAACAATTTTTTGTGCACCTTCCCCGGGAATCACGGTTGCCAGGGCGAGGTGCTGAAGGACCTGGCAGCTCACCGCCTTTCTGGTCCCGTCATCGTCGCTTCTCGGGTGGGTCACAAACGGGGGTTTGGGTTCCTTTTACATCAACAACGACTGGTACCGCGCACTACCCGATTTTTTTCGGCTGTAAATTTGGCTTTGTGTTCGCGGCCGTAATGGCAGGACTTGCCGGAGGTCTCTACGACGTGGTGAGTCGCCCGCTCTCTAGTTTCCATTGTACTGCATTATTTATTATTTATTAAGCGCAGCGAGTGGTAGAGGCTTCATTCTATCCTGCTAATCATCGGCCCGGTTCCTGACCTTTAACGCTCTATGTCAACCTCTTTCTTCATTAAGGTTCCCATCCTGTTCAGCTGCTACACTGGAAGGTCTCTTCAGGCTCTGGTTGCCACTCCCGAAGAGGTACAAAACACAGAGCGATTGACTAACCTGGCCCGTGGCCTGGTGGCAAAAGCTCTCCCCTCACATGTTGAGTGTCCGGGTTCGATTCCCGGCAAGGGTTAAAACATTGGGCGTGTTTCTTTACACCGGATGTCTATGTTCACCAATCAGTAAAAATGGGTACCTGGGTGTTAGTCGACTGGTGTGGGTCTCATCTTGGGACAAAACTGACCTAATTTCCAGAAATGCTTTGCATAACGAGGGGCTTTCTATGTAGTAGTATATCATTGATGTCGGCTATGGTCTGTATACTTTGTACATGTACTTGTAGAAATAGATATTATTATTATTATTATTATTATTATTATTATTATTATTATTATTATTATTATTATTATTATTACTGTAATGCAGTTACCTAGCTTTAATATCAATATGTTCCATAATCTGTATCAGTATAGAGTAAGAATTATTATTAGTCTGCCTGAAATGCCTAGTCATGCTAGGCATACTAGTGGCCCTCTCTGTAATTAGTATTTTATAATATGTAAACCACACATTGTAATCTTCAGAGAGAATAAACTTTTGATTTGGTTTGATTTGAATAATGACGCAGAGTCCAGTTGCATCATCCGTGCTTATTTATAATATGTTTTGATTATGTTCATTATTATTGTGGAAAATACTGTATATATTTTCCGGAAATACGGTAATTTATAGGTAAATAGATGCCCTATATTGTATTTTTAAAAGAAGTATGTTATCGAAAATGGGAAACCTGCGGCTGGGGAGGTGAGGCGCCATTTTGTTTGAATTTGGATTAGAAACGGTGTAATGGGAAGAATTTTTCGTGCTCTAGAGGTTAAAATTGGGCTGACACCTCTCAAATAGGAGACGAAATTGTTGGATGTGCATTCCTGCATAACTTGAGATATCAGGCGACTGGACAAGACAGCTCCAGGAACCTCAGATAAGTCTTATGTAGTAACCTGGCCCAGTGTTATTTTCATTGAGAGGACAGTGTGGTTTTTTTGGATGATACACATTTAATCTCCAGTCAAAATTGGCGAGTGAAAATATCTTAAGATTTTTCCTTCTGTTATGTTATCGTGTTTATATATAATCATTTTTATAAATTTCATATACAGTCCACAAATATATATATTTACCAGCATTCCTGGTGATGTATATATTATTGATAATAAATGGTCAGAGCAAGCTTTTGGTGTGACAGTGGTAGGAATCGAAGTGGGGACCTTTTTTGCGACCTAGGTGTTCCCAAATTCTTCTTGTCTAACTGATAACTATAATTATCTATGTTCATTTAATTGTTATGTATATAAGTTTTACCTTCAGATACCTGCCATTTTCCACATTTAATTTGCCTGTTGGTCCTTCTTGAACCGGCGGTAAAGTGCAGTCATTAATTCGTTAATATTGATATTTATATGTGAACTAACCAGACGGAGGTGGATGTTAAGCTTCCCTATTTCTTAATGTGTAGGGATAATAATTAATTACCAAATCTTACTTTGGATAACGTGTGGGCTAAAGGAGTATATTACTGTGTATAGGTATGTGTAACTGATAAGCCAAGTGTAGCTAATTATTTAATGAGTATATAACTTTGCAAAGCCAAAGTGGCTAGGATATAATTAATGTATTTGTATTAATATTAATTTTGATAAGATAATTCTGGCCAAGATTATTATCGTGTATGGGTAAAGCTATAAGCCAAGGTGTAACTAATATTAATGTATTAATATTATTTTGGCTACTTATGCCAAATTCTGGTAAGGATTACTAATTTGTAGATATATTAATTTGGATACAGCCAAGTTTGGGCTAACGGTTTTTATTAATGATATTTCAAAATTATATTATATATTTTTATATGTAATTGCTAAAGCCAAGTAGCTAGGAATTTATTCAAAGGTAACGTTGAATCAGTGTTGTAAGCTGTTTACTCAGTGTTATTTAAAGTTGAATTTACTAATTGCATCAAGGCTGGAACTGAGGAAAATTTTTAGAGAAGGACAAAACCATCTGGAATATAGAGCAAAAAAACGCCTCACTGCAAGCTAGAGAAAATAGGCATGTAACAAAAGCATACAATAACAGCTTGGCATTAAGAATCAAGAAACTGTTGAATACTGATGATTTAAAATTGTATTTAGATTAATTTCGGTAATAGATATGATTTCCTACAAATTATATTTTACCACAATATGAAGGAGATTTATAATTAAACTTGTGTAGAAGAGACTGAAGTAGCTATCATTATTAATCAGTATTATGATTAGATTAGAGGAAAGATTCCTTTCTGTAAAAAGTCAGGCCTTGAATAAATTAAAAAGTGTAAACCCAGCAGTTAATCGTCTGCTCCCAACAAATAATATGTCTTTGCCAAAACTCCCGAACTTATGTTTTACCTGTATATCATCCTGGTGAACTTGGGAGGAATTTTGGTCAATTTTTAAAGCAGCTGTGCATGGCAGGAGTGACCTAGCCTGTGTAACTAAATTATTTTACCTCAAAGGGCAGGTAAGAGGAGCTGCTCACTACTCCTACAAGCCTTTCCAATGGTAGATGACTCTTACAAGAGAGCAGTTGACTTGTTGACAGTCACTTATGGTAATATAGAACAAAGTAGGATGGGTCTAGTGAATTCATTGTTAATTTAAACCTCCAGATCACACTTACAAAAGGTTTACAGCAGTTTAGAGTTAAACTGGAAAGCACTCTCAACAACTTTACGTAATAATATAATCTGAAGGTGCTCAGACTGGTTTCTGCGTGCCATAGTACAGAATACATAGCTGTTAAACCACGTGAATGACTCTCAAACAAAATATCACACGGGTTATGGTCTGGAGGAAATAAGACTAGGTCTACCAAGAAATATTGTGCAGTTGCAAGACCAGCAACTAACTCTAATAAAGATGCAACACATACTAAACTTCTGAGGTATCTGTCAAGTTTCCAAAGGGAAAAATTATCCCAATGTTGTTATCAAAAATTTATTACCTACAAAGAGGTTGCATAGTGCATATCAAAGTAACAGACTCAGACATACTGATTTCCACCAGTAAGAAGAATAAGTACCTCCTAAGAGTAGCCCAGTTAATAAGAAACCAGTCAAAGACAAGAGAGATTGTCTTTCTGCAAAGGGTTATCATTTTTCAAAGAATTGCAATGCATACAATCATGGAATGGATAAGTTGAAAGATTGGGAGGAAACTTGACAGATGTATAGGTGTTTAGGTAATCACAATATAAGAGGCTTGATAGGCCAAAATTAAACTTCTGTTATCAATGTACCCCAAAGGAAGACCACCATATCGTCATGTGTAAAGGTCTATATGATAATGATGAGCATAATGATAAAGTTGGGACAATCCGGAACAACAGTGGCTAATGTAAAAATTGTGCTAATGTTAATAATTTGATGGTTTTGCTGAAAGTAGCCTTACTGTGCTAAGGTAAAAAATTGATGATACAAGGCATAAATCAAAAATTGTACATGGCATTATTGGACCAGGGATCCCAGCGTCTTTCATTTAAACGTACTAAAACTAAATGTCTTGATGGTATGAAAGGACGATGGGAGATCCCACAACTTTAAATTATTGGTTTTCTCTCAGATAAACGTGCTCAAATTGTATGGAACCTGTTTATGTAACTGTTCAGGTTGGTGCAATGAGAAAAAAATGGGTTAATGCAGGAATTGTTAGATTAGACTTCCAGAGAACAATATCTTCAGTAGGGCTTAGTAAAGCACAGACGACTTTCACATAATGTAAATTTGCACCCCTTCTGGTGTTAGTGAAGATTCTGTAAGACCCAATAAATATTTTGGATAGGTAGTGACATTATGCCTCCTTGTAAAGGGTTATGGTATTAAACTTATTTTATTTAATCACAACGAAGCGCTTAAGCCACACGGGCTATTACAGCGCTGGGGTAGGGGGAAGGAAGCGAGGGTATTGGTTGCAGATGGGAGGAGGGGATGATCACGTAGGTTACAGAAAACGTGAGGGAGGGGATAGTCGGCGGTAGGAGGTTAATGACTTAAGGCGAAGGCTAATGAAAAAAGGCAAAGTGCAAATATGCCTCTGGAGGGAATGGAATAGTAAATAACGTCCAAATTAAAGGACAAGTAAGTAAAGATTACCCCTGGAGGGATGAAGTGCCAAATGTAGTCATGTACTGGGTTTAAACTTGGGATACTGAGACCGATTTGTTCATGTTAAAAACCTACTAATTACCAGTACGCCAAGAAATTAACTAAGAAGAGTTTTGCTGCTGAAGTTTCCAAATGTTTTGATCCACTAGGCTTAGTGTCACCCTTAGTATAAGAGGGAAATTATTAAAACAGGAAGCATGGAAACTTAATGTGGCTTGGGGGTGAAAATTCTACCTGAGGGAATTTCATAGGGGTGGGATGAATTAATGGTGATTATGAAAAAATTTTAAAGTGGAGTTCCCAAGCCAGGTTCCAATCCAAATGGGAAACATGTACTCCACAGTTTTTGTGAGCTTCAACTTTGGCATATGGAGCAGTTGCTTACCTTCAATGTAATAGTGATATTTCTCTTGTTATGTCTAAGGCTAAAGTGTCTCCAATTACTTCACGTACCTTACCTCAGTTGAAAAAAACAATTAACAGCCATTTATGTAGGTTCCAATTAGCTTAATTATATTAAGAAATAAGTTGCGGAGAGAACTATTAGCGACACTGTAATTTGACTGAAAATGAGGAATCCTTACAATGGGATTCGTAATGGAAACAGTAAAATTGTGTACATACACACAGAGTCGCTGAAATTAATCAGCATGCAAGAGAAAGTATAATCGTTTGGGTCAGCATATGTTACAATTAAATATAAACCTGGGTGAGGAGAATCAGCTGATTTCTTGTCTTAGGTTTACCTTAAGCTAATTTGTAAAAAGCTGTATTCATGTTTAAGGCCCGAGCTGGTTGGTAAATAAAGCCTAATTGGCCTGTACAAACGGCCGTATAATGTCCTGTTGATATTCCTGTGACCCCCACTCCAATAGTATGTCCTTCCTAAGCCATTGATATCATAGGTATTCATCATTACCAAACTAATCACTGTAACTAAGTGGTGTTTAAGATTTCTAAACAAGGATGAATATTTCATTTATCAGTTTTCGCATTCCTCTTGAATATTGGATAAAGAGGGTAACAGGAGGAAATCTATTGGAAATTGAAATTAATTGATGAGGAAAGAAAAATTGTTGAACGGTTCATAATAGAGAAGTTGGGGCTGATTTAGAGAACAATGTAATTAGGTGCAGAGGTAGGGTACAAAATGCTGAATTGGATGATTATGCTAAACACCCTATCTTACTGTTCCAAAAAAACTCGTATCTAACAAATTTAATTGTGCTAAATGCCCATAAAAATGTAATGCATGGTGGGGTAACAAGTACCTCGTTAAATTGTATTAGGGAAAACTTTCAGGATTCCACAAGGATGGCAAGTGTAAAAAGGGTGATTAAATCTTGTGTCTATGTGCCGTGCGGATGCCAGATCCTTATGTACCCGGTTCCTCCACCATTGTCAATGAGCCAATTTTGAAGTCGTTTAGCAAAGAACTCTGGCCGACGCCCCCGGTGGAAAATACTGTATATATTTTCCGGAAATTAATACGCGTAATTTAAGGTAATGGATGCCCTATATTGTATTATTTTAAAAGAAGTTGTTACTGCGGTGGGGGGTGAGAGTCCGCCCATTTGTTTGGAATTTGGCTTAGAAACGGTGTAATGGGCATAATTGTTTCGTGCTCTAGAGGTTAAAATTGGGCTGACACCTTCTCAAATAGGAGTACGAAATTGTTGGATGTGCATTCCTGCATAACTTGAGATAATCAGGCGACTAGACAAGACAGCTCCCGGAACTCAGATAAGTCTTTATGTAGTAACCTGGCCAGTGTTACTTTCATAGGATAGGACAGTGAGGTTTTCCTAAGTATGTTAACATAATCTCCAGTCCCATTGGGTGTGATATTAGATATTTTCCTTCAGTTATTGTATATGTGTTTATATATAATCATTTTTTAATTTAATATACAGTCCACAAATTTATATATTTACCAGCATTCCTGGTGATGTACATTTTATTTATAATTAATAGGTCCAGAGCAACTTGTGGATATGACAGTGGTAGGTATCGAAGGGGGACATTTTTTGCGACCTAGGTGTCCCAAATTCCTACTTGTCTAACTGATAAATAATAATTATTTTTGTTCATTTACTGTTATGTACATAATGATACCTTCAGATAAATGCAATTTTCCACAATTATTATAATCAAGGGGGAAGCGCTAAACCCGGAGGATTATACAGCGCCTGGGGGGGGGGGGATGTGGAAGGCATTCAGGCTTAATTCGGGGAACTGGAGCACAGATCCAATTCCCTAAATCAAGAGCCCCTCACCAACATCAAGGAACCTTCCCTGAGGGGTGATTATGTTCAGCGAGTTTTAAACAGCAGTTTGGACACAATGCATGTGGATGTTTGAATAATATGATTAACCCGTAGAGATATTAAATATTCTGATATACTACTATAGATTACTAATATAAATTTTTTTAGGAAAAATTTCAATGAAACCCCATATTGTCTCCGGAGCTGCATGGAGTAGCTTCGGGAGCTGCAGTTTGCAGACCGTTGCAGTCTAAACCACTCAGCCACAGATGCCCAGAAGTTGGGCATGGCTTGTAAACAAGGCTGCCCAGCGTTTGAGGCATGTGTAGCCGAGTGGTCTCGAGCGTCACTTGCGAACTTTGTCAGCCTTTCCTGACGGCTTTGAATCCTGCTGACTGTGATATCTCTATCTCTCTCTCTCTCTCTAATTTCATTACAGAATATTCATAAAATTTCTTTCTTTCCTTTCAGTACAAGAGTCAAGTGAAGATGTTCATGCCAGATTCAGAGTCGAATCCGAACACTGTTCATCATTTACGTGAACAGCAGCAGCAGCAGCAGCAGCAGCATCAACGACAGCAGTATCCTCCACTGTATAACGTTCATCCTCACCATCAAAATCCCTATCCTCCAGTCTACCACCAAGCCTAATAACCAGCCGCTACACCTGTCTAGTGAGGGTACTGCTAAAACACCTGTCTAGTGAGAATGCTGCTAAAACACCTGTCTAGTGAGGGTGCTGCTGAAACACCTGTCTAGTGAGTGAGGGTGCTGCTGCTAAATTATTATAATGAAAAATGAAGTGCTGAACCCACAAGGGTCATACAGCGCTGCTGCTGGAATATAAAAATAATCACATTAAAACAGTAGAAAAATCTCAGGTGTGGTCAATGTCACTTTTAAAGATTACACAAAAATTATTAAATTAATTGGGGGATTATAATCAAAACTAAATTTTAAACCCACAAGGGTCATACAGCACTATATTACTAGAGAGAGCGCTCAAGCCGCAGGGGTCATACAATGCCTAGGTGAATGCAATACATTTAGGTTGTCCAATGAAAGGATAGGTAGCTTATTGTTATTATAATCAAGGGGGAAACACTTAAACCGTGGGGGGGGGATTTAACCGGCACGGTGGGGGGATGGTAGGTATTCAGGCTAATTCACGGGCACTGGAACCACATCCAATTCCTAGATCAAGAACCCTCACCAGATAGGTAGCTCAAGTGACTTGGATCAAGAGCCATTTACACTTATCACCTCTTTAAGGGTCAATTTTTTTTAATCATGGTGATGCACTAAACTTGTAGGGATTGCATAGTGCCTAGAGAATGAGAGGGAATGAGGCTCAACCCAAGGAAAAGGATGATAACTCCAATTTCTTGGATCATGAGTCTCTCATTGGCATCATTACACTCATGAGAAGTGCTAAACCCACAGGGTCATGGGGAGCCCATAGTGGAAGGGACGGAGAATACATAGTTCTAATTCCTTGAATTACGTCAAAGGGGGTCACTTGACATGGCAAAGAGACTCTTAATCCTGGGGAACTTGGCTTCTTGTCTCCTTCCTTGGATCAGATCTAATTACCCTCGCTCACTTCGTCCATTCTGCTTTTGGGGATATTTTCCCTTGTAAATTACAGCTCCTGCGTTGGAGAGAGATCACAGTCCGTCCCATTCCTCCAAGGCCTCGGTGGTGGTGGTGGTTTGCCATGGGATTTGGATTATATGGAGCTGTGCTGGGTTGCCTCTGGAGTCCCGGTGGGTGGCCTTGTCTGTCCTTGAGTGAGGAGAGTAGCCCTGGAAGCTGCCCCTCAGCTCCAGGAGGTGCTGGTCAAAAGGGGGATGAGATAGCTACTACCTGCTATTAACTTCATGCTTGATCTTTCTTGATCACTTCCATTTTATCAGCATTCATGCAGCATTCACTGCCATCTATTTTCCACTGCCCAACACACTCTTCGCAACCTTTCCGGGGAAGTTCCACCCTTGAAGCAGACTCTCCTTGATTTTTTTAAACAGAAACTTAATAATTGCACCAACTATGATTTTACTGTTCTTCTTGCATTCTTCCCTACCCTCGCACACTCCTTCCCATTGCTCCCTCCCCAGGCCCGGTGGCCTGGTAAGTGGCCGGTGGCCTAGTGGCTAAAGTTCCCGCTTCACACACGGAGGACCCGGGTTCGATTCCTGGCGGGTGGAAACATTTCGACGAGTTTCCTTACACTGTTGTCCTGTTCACCTAGCAGCAAATAGGTACCTGGGTGTTAGTCGACTGGTGTGGGTCGCATCCTGGGGGACAAGATTGAGGACCCCAAAGTTAGACAGTCCTCGATGATGCACTGACTTTCTTGGGTTATCCTGGGTGGCTAACCCTCCGGGGTTAAAAATCCGAACGAAATTTTAATCTCTCTCTTACTTTTGCTCATTCATTTCACACATCCTGCCCTGCAGTGCTATGACTCTCGGGTCTAGCACTCAATCTTACTATACTATTATTAATTCCTTTGATTAAAAACCCTTCACCAGCATCAAGGCATTACCCACTGAAAGGTCTGTAATTCAAGATATTACATGATTTAAAGTTTTTAATGTTCAACTCTCAAAATCTATCATTATTGTGAAAATGTTTTGTATATTCCAGTGTTAATCTATTATATTAATTATTATGAATTGTACCTCATAAGAAAAAATATAATGTCCTTATTTATATGGAACAGTTTATTTACATATTATTAAATGTTTATACGTGTGTTGATAACTTTGTGTTCAGTCAGCAATTTACCAAACCAAACTAACCCCTGCCCTCACTCGTACACTCTGCCCTGCCCTCACTCACACCTGCCCTTCACTCCGTCTTTCCTTTTGCACATCCCTACCTGCAGCGCTGTATAACCCTTTCGAGTTTAGCGCTTACTTCCATTATATTATTGTAATGAAGGCCAAGTGATGTAAATACGTATTGTCTTAATATGTCAGATAAAAATCTGGCATTCCTCCTTGTTAACACAAATTTTCCTCGTGGATAATCATGAGGAACTGTTATAAGAGGTTGGATTAGTATTACATTCATAAGAAAGCACTAAACCCATTGGAATCACACAGCAACTGGGGCAATGGAAGGCATTCAGACTCAATTTAAAGAATTGAAGCACAAGTCCAATTCCTTAGACCAGGAACCGCTCACCAGCATAAAATGTTGGAATTTCAACTACAAATTCAGACTCCAGTATCAGCTCACGTGTGAACACATGCCAGGATGGAAATTCCATGGCAAGAGGCTCTTAGTCCAAGGAATTGGGCCTGCACTTTCATAGAGCAAACTTAAATGCCTCCCATTCCCCAGGTGCTGTATGACCCCTATGGGTTTCACGGTCTACCTCCAAGGAAAGCTCATTTTATGCATAATCCTGTATTGCAAAGCTTAAGAATAGGGAATGGAGTTTCTGAGGGACCTGAGAGAAAATATTCTAGGCAGAATATTGCTGTATAATGAGATGATCCTAGACATATTTGTAGATATAACATTTTCTCATGCATTCTGTATTCTTAATGATTTCACATTTGAGTTAATATTTTTCTGTTGATATTATAAGTGTGATGTTATGAGTAGTAATAAAGTTCTAACAGTTTGTCAAATTACCCGGTAGAATGCACAGTGAATTAAACCTTATTAGGTGGTTCTCCAGAATAGTCTTTAAGCTCTCACTTTAATTCTGATGGCAATACTGTTTCAAAGGAATCATATTCCTTACAGTTTTTAATTAAGTCCATTGTCTAGAAGGGTGATATGTCTTGACCAAGGCAGTTTAAGGATACAGTCAAGTGCACACTGAATGTAATGTAAGTCCCATCAGGACAACATCAAGTAATAGTGAATCAGGGAGCCGTATAAACGAATTTTTGGGTATAACTTGAAATGTCTGTAACAGTGAATTGCCGTTAAGCGAAGCACTGTAAAGTGGAGCCCTCCTGTACATCACAGTCTAATAACGGACTCAAGTGACCCATGCTAAAATGAATACTACAGAATATTAATCCCCCACAGTTATATTAGGGAATCACTAAACCTATTGGGTTAATAAGAACATTTTAAATGCCTGTTCTCATATTCCTGGGGAGAGGCCAAAGCTGGAAAAACCATACATGGCACTTGGCTTATTATTACGTTCAAGGAAGGGAGCGCTAAACCCTAAGGGTCATGCAGCACTTTTGGAATGTAATACAGTCAGGTTTAATCCAACAAATGGCAAGGTTGCTCCAGTTCCTTGGATCAAGAGTCCTGGCATAAATGGCATAGAACAATTTCGTACAAACAAGCTCTGGAAAATCTTGCTGTATGAGCAAGCCCATTATATGCCTCAGTGCTGAGGGAAACAATATTTTGAAGGGCAGGAGACAGGTGCTGCTAGATAAGTACAGGACAGCTACAGATCTAATTAGGTCCAAGAGAGGGATTCCAATCATATGTAGCATTTTGCATAGAAGTGTGGGCATTGAATGAATGTCTAGAGCAACTGGTGTAAACTGATGGTTAGACAAAGTATCGCAAAGAACTTGCAATCCCATTCATTGAGAACTGGGACAATTTTTATGGCAAACATATGTATGCAAGGTCTGAAGTACACCGCTCTGTGGCAAGGGTGGTAGCGTTAGCCAACTCTAAAATAGCCCTTCAGATAAATTCTGATGCTACAAAATCTGGGCAGGATGATGCAGTGGTCAGCAAAGTGGCAGATATAGTTTAATGCTGACAAATGTAAGGTTCTAAGCCTGGAAAAGGAGAATAACTATGGCACTTATAAATTACACAAAGCAGATCTCAATCATTCTGAACCAAAAAAGATGTAGGGGTCCTGGTTAGCAAATATCTAAAGCTAATAAAACTATGCATAAGTTTCCAATCAAGCTAATAGAATTCTTGGCTTCATATCCAGAAGTATAAATAATAGAAGTCCTCGGGTTATACTTCAACTTCATGTACCCTTGGTAAGGCCTATGCTGCACAGTTCTGGTCTCCATATTAATGAATGGACATAATTGGACATAATCCCATGTAACAGAAATCTTTCCTAGGAGGACAAATTGAGGGCAAAGAATCTTCAGTCTGGAAAGGCGTAGAATTAGGGAGAAATGGTTGAAGTGTATAAATGGAAAACAGGAATACATAGAGGATATAAATAACATGCTGAACAAAAGCTAATACAGATAGAACTCACAGCATTAGGCTCAAGTTGAAAAAATTTAACATTTAGAAAGGATATGGGAAATCACTGGTTTGGTAACAAAGCTGAGGATGAGTGGAACAAACTCCTGAGTAGTATCACTGAAACCAAGAACTGTGGGTAGCTTTAACCCTTTGAGGGTCCGTCCCGTAGATCTACGGCTTTACGTTCAGGGTCCAAACCGTAGATCTACGTCATGAGCTCAGCTCACTCTGATAAACTGTGAGTGGTACATTTGGGCCTAGATATGAGAGAGTACATCTATGTGGTATGTGTGCACCACATAAAACAGATCCTGCAGCACGCTGTGTATAATGAGAGAAAAAAACTGAAATCATGATTTTTCGATTAAAACAGCGACTTTGCAGTGTTTTTTCGTATGTTTTTTATAGTTCTATTTGCGATTTCTTGGTCTCATTTGATAGAATGGAAGACATATCACAGAAATAAAGATGATTTTGATTGGTTTTAGCACTGGAAATGGCTTGAAACTGAGCTCAAAGTAGCAGAAATTTTAAATTTTTGCCGATATTCAAGAGTAAACAAACGACCTCACACGTCTAATACACGCCAGCTGGTGGGTCTAATATGCATTCACAAATATGGTGATGATATTTATACAATTATTACAATATTGCATAACAGTA